GGAGACAAAGAGGCAGAGATTATAGCACAATGTCAGCCCTTAGTTATAGACAAAGAAGGCCTATCTTACAACACATATTACTAAGCAGGTCTTCTCTCAGTGACCTGACAAATTGGGCAGAATCTTTATCAAGGTAACCCAGTGCTGTCCTGTATAGTGTTTATAGGTAATAGCCAGCATTTTGAACTAGGTCTGGAAGCCTAGGACAACCAATACAGTGGCTGTAAAATCAAAATTATTCTCAAATGGTGGGACCTACCTACCAACAGTCTGGCTGCCACATTCTAAACCAGCTGCAGTTTACAGCGTCTTCAAAGCCAGATTCACATAGAGTGCATTGCACTAGTCCAGTTGAGTGATAATAGCATGAGTGACTGTTGCCAATACCTCCTGGTTCGGGTAAGTCCACAACAGGTGCACCAGTTGAATCTGGACAAAACTCCAAAGCTACAACTTCCATTTAATGTTCTAGCAGGAGCCACATGCTCAGAACATACCCCCAAGTCATAGATTTGATACTTTAGTGGATGCATGATCCTGTCAAGAGCTACAGCCAGAACTGATGTTCCCAGGAGGCCAAGATGTTTATAGACAAAAAGAAAATACATCTTGCCAGGGTTTACTCTGAGCTTGTTTCTCTCCACCCAGTCCTGATAGCCTCCAGGCACTGGTTCAAAGTTTCATAGCATCTCTGGTCCAGCCTGGGGTGGAGATATACAGTTCAATACCATCACTGTATTGATGACAACTCGCCCCATACTCATGGGTGACCCCTCACAGCAGGTTCATGTAATATAAGGGAGAGGTCCAAGGCCTGTAGTATCCCACAATAGCTTAACCATGAGCTCAATTGCTCTTTCCTTCTCATCAGCAACTGGAACCACCTACTCATGTAGGAGTGGAACCATTATAAAATGGTGCCTCTCTAAACCCCAATTTTGAAGTGGTCTAGTAAGATACAACGGTCAGTGGTACTCAATGTGGCTGGGAGGCCTAATGAGTCCCTTTTCCCATCTAGGTCCTGGGGAGTGACCAATGCTGTTTCTGTCCCATGACTAGGCTTGAATCCTAACTGAACAAAATCCATATCATCCATTTCCTCTGCATTGGATTCAGAAACCTGAGTTTGGGGAGCTGGTTGAATATGCTGTTTGCTTCTGGGTCACTGTCTGTTCCCAAGGAGTAAACAGATACTTTTCCTTACATCTCCAACCTTCACTACAATCCGATGCCAAGCAAAGCAAGTTTTTATTGTAGTCAAGTATTTAAAATGGTTGTGAACTGATCATACATACATACCCATCACACAATTTGGGGTAAGCACTGTAACACAAAGCTCAGGAAAAGAGTAGAGGTTAGTTAAGCACAAGAAATCAAAGGCAGGATTTCAGAGGAAAAGCCATACCATTCACTACACCACTTCATACCTTTCTATCCTGACCCCACCAAGTCCATACGTTGCATCATGTTACCCTTTATTCTTTATACTTGTAATCAATGGTTGGAAGTTTATGACGTGCGCACACACACACACATTCTGTAGAACTCAAAAGAGTATTATTGTTGATTGCCTTATGACATAAGTGGTTACCTGCACCAGGAAATCTAATAATTATATACATGTTTAAAGTAAATTACGTCAAGTAATTTAGTAGCTTTTTGGGTTGCATCCTGGATGACTGTCTCCTTGGATTTCTGTTTTTAGAAATACATGGAAAAATCTGGATGGATGATTGATGTTACACTACATAGTCATCTTTAGTTGAATTACACCAGTTGGTTTTTATGTGCTTCTAAAAATCCAGGGCCAATTTCTGGAACCATTAATATTCTCAAGATGAAGTCAAGGCATTTTTACTAGCAAGTATCAGAAAGTCTGGCAAGAAAAAAGTGAATAAGATACAAAGAATGTCTAGTCCCTGTGGGAGGCAGCAATAGGGAAGCAAGAAAAAATGAAGGCCAGTCTTCTCAGGCACATTGGAAGTCAAATACATGCAATGTTAGAAACTTGGGGAACAGTCTTGATTATCAGTGCCTAAATTGGTTCTCGGCTACCCCGAACATGGCAGACAGCATCATTTCTCAGAGATGAAGGTTTTCTCAGAGATGAAGCACAACAAAACAACTGTCCAAAAGTGGGAGTGAGATAAAGCGAGTGTGTCATGTCCCTACCATTCACAAAAAGAATGCAAGGATTTTTATGAGTGTAAGTGAGAAATGTCAAAATATCTCCGTTGTGCTCAGGAATGCACAATGATTAAAAAAAAAAAAGCATAATCTTCTAGCAACTTAAAGGGAGAGCAAGACGTTCAAAGGCAAGGAAAAGGGGCAGATGCTCAGGCTGTAAAAGATGCGGTACATTCATCCTGTAAATTCTCACTGCTCCACAGAGAACCCGGATAATTCCTTCATGCAGGCATAGAATGGCACCTGATTTAAGCACAGGCTGATGCCCATAGAAGAAGTCCTTGAAATGTGTCTAGACATTCCAGTTAGTCTAAAATGCTACTTGCAGACCATGGGCTGAGTTCAGCTGGATAGATCATAAGAGTCCTGGTTTGTTACCTCTTCACAGTTCTGGTTGTTGTGAGACAAAATGCTGGTAACTACCTTTGAACGGGGCTGCAAAAGTTTTGACTGCTACTAGTTGGCTGCAAAGAAGTAGTTTCTGTATTTCTTTGCTAGCACGTAGTGGTCATAACATATTTTAGTTCCAGATTATGATAGCTCCCCTTTAAAACCCTAAATAGATTTCCTTTAAAGACTACCTTTCCCATAGAAGAGAATATCTGGAGTCCTTAGTGCTCTCAGCTAGGTTGTTTGCTTACAGACTTTTCATTACCCAACTAGGTAACATTATCAGTGATAATGAGACGTCTGCAAAAAGATCCTTTTAGATAGACAGGTTTCCTTCTTGTGGTTCAGATCATGTGCTGTCTTGTTGTGAAATCTTAGCTTACTGTGTTCCCTGGTTACATTTTTTATTATAAGTTTATTGGGCAATTGCCTGTATTGCATTGCTGAGATACACAGACAGGTAATTCTCTTGCAATTAAACAGTACATTTGCACAATAGTGCTGCGTAAATCAATCTAAAGAATGGTGGGTAAGGCAAAGATAAGCCTGGAATCATAGTTACCCTTAGGACAATGAACTGCAGTTAGTTATGTTTCGTTCCATAAGATCAAGGGAGCAAGCCCGGCTCCCCAGTCCATTTCAGCTTCCCCCCCATGTGGTACCTTTCAGGTGTGTCGGGACTACAGCTCCCACAATCGATAGCCATGCCAGCTAGGGATCCTGGGAGTTGTAGTCCCAACACCCCTGGAGCGTCCCAGGTGGGGGGAACGCCTCTGTAAAGCAAGAAACGAATGCCCGATAATGGAGATTGGGCATCAGCAATCAAATGAACGCCTGCAGGGTGGCTCCACGCCTGCTTCTTCAGCAAAGGCTTTCCGAGGATCACGAGCTGCCAAACCACATTCCGGCCTCGCGTCTCTGACATCAGATCCCTGAAAGGCTTTGAAGTCCGGGTTCTGGGCTATGACGCGCGAGAGCAGCTGACGGGGTTACCTTCCCATCTCATTTGCATGGCCTCGCCCCGTTCGAGGAACGCCATTGGCCGAGCCGCCTCCCTGGCGTCGCGGCCGGCGAGAATGAGCGAAAGCTCGGGAGGAACTGGAGCGCCCCAGGCTTCTGATTAGCATAGTCCCCGCCCTTTCCCTTTCCTCGCGGCCCATTGGCCCGCTTGCGGGAGGAGAGCGAGACGGCGCGCCCGGGGGAGCGGGGTGGTCCTTCGAACGTCACGGCGCTTCGCTGCTGACGATTGGACGCTGCTGGGTGTCTGTCAAGCGGGGAGCGCTGAGAGGAGGGGGTGGGAAGGCGGCGGAGGGTCGCACTTCCGCCTCGGGGAGTGTCAACGGGTCTCTCCTGGGGCTTGCGGCGGGAGAGCGTGTGCGCGTGCGCACGCCCGCACCGCAGGACGGGGACGCGCCGGGCGACAGGTAACCCACCGCCGGCGGGGCTGTAAGCCGTGTCCGGCCCTCGCGAGCCCTCCGGGGGGCTCCCCATCTCGAGCCCGGCCGCCTGATCGCGGGAGCGATACGGCCCCACCAGCCTGGCTGAGGGAGAGGAGAAAGGAGGCAGGCAGGCCGCGCCGCCTGAGGAGGATGGGGATGCCGCCCGATCCCTCTCCCGGGGTTGGGGAGGCGGCGCCGGGCCGGGCTGAGGGCTTCCTGAAGAGAAAGGATCCTCCCTTGGTGATGGGGATGATGGGAGTTGTAGTCCCCCTCGTTTGGGAAGGTCGAGGCAGGAGGAGGGAAGACCCCGCGGTGATCTGCCTGCCCCTCCTCCTCCTCCTCCTCCTCAGGGGTTCCTTCTCCTCCGGGCGCTGCCACGCTGGTCTGAGGATCTCTTGCCGGGGAAAAGAGCCCTCCGGGCTGGGCGGCTCGGCCTCTGCGCGGGTTTTCCGGGAGTCAGGCGGTTCCTTCCCTAAGTAGGCTTTTGGGAAAGGCTCCCGGAAGGTCCCGGGCCCGTCTTCGTTTTGGGGTCTCCGGCCCGAGGGCGGCCGTTGTGGGTGGCCAGCTCTCTCTGGCTTGGAGCTGAGGAGGCCCGTCGAGTTCCCAACTTTCTTTCTAGCTTTCTCGCCTGTTTCTAGGACTGGATTTAGCAGGTTGGCCGACAAGGGGCTGATAACGCTGATTGCTGCCGGTTGCGGTTTAGCCTGTTAAGGTTATTTTATTTTATCTTTCACCCTGCTGCTGTGAGTGCCTAACACGACAAAGAGGCAAGGAGGGAGCAGGACTTCATCTTTGGGCCTTTCCTTCCTGCTACAGGAATAGCTCTTCTGTTCAATTTTTACTCGTTTTTTTTTTAAATCTTAGATGAAGGGAACCTAACTGGTGATCTTTGAAAATAGATGGATGAGGTGCCCCAGTATAGGCTTAAATGCTGCTTCCTGGATTGGAACAGTTTTTCATGAATCTGCAGCCATTCGTCTTAGTAGTAAGTTTGCTCACCAGAATGAGTAGTGAACAGATTCTGATTGTCCTCCAATCTGACACTTCAGTGGTTGTGCTTGGATTCACAAGCTGTGTTCTTTTCTTTAGCAGAAGGACACACACCCTCCTCAGCTCCAGGAAGAGAATGTCTTACTGGCATAAAGCTACCTTGAGAATGGGGTAGTTCATTCTGGGTTGAGGAAAATGACAGCCTTTCCTGTAAATATGGTGCCCTTATTTGCTATTATTTTGGTTGAGATTGAGTTTGACTTGCCTGGAGAATTTGCTGTCAGACGTGCTGATGGCTGTCAGGTTAGACGGTTTTGAAAGGAACCATGGAGGACATAGCCATCGGTGTTTATAGCCTTGATTTCTGTCTGTTCCAAAGATGGTGTGAGTTGATTACCAACTGCTGAGGAGCAACAGTTGAGGAGGGCTCTTCTCTCCTCCTCATCAATGTTTGTGTAATTTGGCTGGTCATAAGGTGACACAGAATGCTGGGTTTCATGAGCTGCTGTCCTGACGCAACTGTGCTCTTATGTTTGGGGAAGGAATGATCCACATGTTGAGGTTGGGTTCATCCCATTCCTTAGTCTTTAGAAAAGTATGCCATAACAACAGAAACACTTTTTTTTTCCTGTGAGAACTCTTTGCTTGGATAATAAGCAAGGGTAGTATACCCTCTAATTCCTTGCATAATATTTGCTACTCATAATATTTCACCTAACAGCAAGGATTCTGCAAATTAGCTAGTTCCCTGGTGAGATCGCATGCCTTTTCCCCATAGCTGTCAATTGTAGCAAGGCATTAGACTACTTTGATCGCACTGGCAAGTTTTTTTCACCTATGCCTCTGAATAATTGAGGATTTGAAAACAGCGCAGCAAGTGACTGTGAAACCATTTGTAGAAGTAGTGAAACAGAATTGTAAAGAAAAGGGAGGACAAAAATATTTTCTTCTTGGGAAGCCACCACTATAGCACTACGTTGGAATCATTTTTTTTTTCTTTCCTATAAAAAGAATTGTTTCTTTCCTAGCTGAGTATTTGGATTTGCAACATACTTTTAAAAAAGTATAATGCTATAGAAAGATCTATAACTTCAAGATTTTTTTCTTGTGTTATGGAAATAAAAAACATAATATGGATAGCATGGAGGGATGTTCCTTGTCTTTAGAAAGGGAAGATGCTCATATTTCTATGCTGAAGATTGTCTAAGACAGATATGGGAATCTTCAGGCTGCTAGGCCTTCCAATTTATCTTGTGGTACTTTCCCTGATGGACATACTGCTTACTTCCATCATATCTTCTTGGGCTTTGAATTGGCAGAAAACCGTGCCAAACTTGCTGCCCTTATTACTAATCCCTATGCTGGCTCTATGGCCTTTGTTCTGATTCACTAAATGGTGCTCTACTGATTTTATGCAATCAGCATATAATAGGCAATAAGATCAGTTAAGTTCTTCAGTTTTGTTGTTTTCTTTCTTCGCGCATTATGAGCTGGTGGGAAAAACTTTTTTTGCCTAGATTTTCTCTTTCCTTTCTTTATATATGCAGTAAATGCTGACTTTCAGATTCTTCCATGCTTTGTTTAGGGAGAAATGTCTGGTGGTTTGTCCTGTCATTCTACTGTTTTTTTCTACAGCAGACACAGAGCATTCTACAAGGGAGTCCCTCGCTTCCACTTTTTCTGGAGGCAGGTCTAAAAAAGGTTCTGATGCAGCTTCCTGTAGGAGGACATGCTTTCTTTCCCCATTTGGATCCTGCCTTGGTCAAGAGAGCATGTGTGTCTGTTGGTTCTGCCAGGGACTCCAACAGTCTTGGCAGATCTCTGCTCTTCCTTTTATATTTCTCTCCTTTTCTTATTTGAACTTCATCTTCTCCAAGCTTAGCAAATCGTCTGACATGGCCAGCAAGCTCACAAATAGTAGTTCCCATCTGTAGATAGGTCAGCAAATCTCTCTACAGCTAAGGTGAAGCCAGGCACCACATACATGCCCTTTTGTTTCCCTGTCATGCTTTCCCCAGGGAACTCAGGCCACAAGCTATACAACCCTCACAGTAGCTGGAGGGTCCATTGCTGCTACTCTGGGGTACTGGACAGCTCAGGCTTTAAAGGTGATAGAAACCAGTGGCTCTGGTGCCTGATTGCCCCATGGCTTCACCAAGGAACAGCAGGCTTTGATCTCCCAAACTGGCTTTACCAGATAATTTATTTATTATTTTTATTTATTTATTTAAACAATTTATATGGCCGCTAAACTAACTCACGGTGACTCCGGGTGGCTTACAAGAATAAGAATCCCAATACAAAACTCACTCCACCCCCCCCATCCCCCTGGCGACAACAGTACATTTACACTGGCCATTTGATGGGCTCTTGGTTGACCTGGGATCCCCAGGCCCACTGGCACAACCATGTCTTCAGGGCCTTCAAGGTGGGGGTAAATCTTATCTCTCCAGGGATGATGTTCCACAGGGAGGGAGCCACCACAGAGAAGGCCGTTCTTCTTGGTCCCACTAGATGGACTTCCTTAATAGAGGGAACCCGTAACATACCCTGCCTCCCCGATCTGATGGGTCAGGCAAATGAAGCTGGGAAAAGGGGGTCTTTCAAATAACCTTCCCCCTTTCCCCCAGCCTTCCATTCCCCAGAATCCCCTAGGAAAGAATCTGATGCTGAATTAGGCCATACTTCTTCAGATCTGGCATACACCTGTGACCATTCACCCTAGGGAGGACAAAGAAAAAGTGGGAAATACCATGTTGGTGCTCCCAAACCAGATTAGAGGAGAAAAGAAGGGAAATGTTGCTCCTCATTCCTCCCTCCTCCACTACCTTATTAGAAGCCTCCTCTTTAAACCTTTACAGCAGAGGTTGAGGCAGGCATACAAAGGAAGAAGGGGTACCTTATCCTCATCCTTTATCACACAGGCACCTCTGCGTAGGACCAATCAAATATGGAGGAGGTGGAGTTGTTCTTGGACAAGGAAGACCAACCCCCAGTCTCTAAACCCACCAGACTTTTCAAAAACCTAGAATCTCGGGCTGCAGAAATGTTTCTTGTGACTAGAAGCCTTGTCCTGTTCCTCTCCTTCCATCAGGTGTGCAATAACTTCCTTAAGGCAGAATGGGAATCTCCATGGGAGACAGTGGGTGGCTGTTCCTAATTCCCAAACTCTACACTTTTCCTCAGACTCTCCTACTTCTGCTTAACCTCCTCCCAGAGGGTGCTCCTATGGCAGAGCTGGTTTCAGGATCCACAGTAAATAAACACTTGGAAGACATACCCAAACATTCAGAGGACAAGAGGATGGAGCTGCTGTAGTGCAGTGTACATAAGGCTACAGGCCTAGCCCTTGTATGCCGCCTGGCTTTCAGTGCCTCTGGGTGGCTCCAACAATGAAACAAATTACAATAAGATCTGTAAAACATAAAAAATAATGATGAAAGATGGCTACCTCATTCACTCTAGCTACCTTATTCTTTGCCAGGGTTTTTATCATACAGGCCAAGGAGAGAACTCATCTCATCCCATCCCTCAAGAGCATAAGGAGCTCAGGCTGGACATGAACAAATTATCCAGGGCTAAAACTTTCATAGTAAATGCTATTCTGAATAATGACTAGTACTAACCCAGAGGCATGGCAGCCAATGTAACTACTAGGAGTCAACTTTGACTGAAGAACTGGAACACTCTCCATACAAATCTTAACATCAGGATTGTTCAGGAGGGCAAGTTCTTTAGAGAGGCCTAGACTAAGACCGAAGTCAGCAAAAAAAGTCCATCCTAACCAACAACAACAAAAATGAAGGGAAGGGCAGCCAAACTTTAGATTACAGTATACCCCCATTCTTTTTGATTGTATTATATTCAGAGCAGACCCTTGAACAAACAGGATACAGATCATCCTGGGATGGGGACACAGACCACAAAACAAGTTACACCAGCCTAAACTGCAGTCTAGAGAGAAACCTTCCCCCAACAGCAAAAGGGGGGATGCA